CCTCCTCTTCTCCCTTTCCTTCCCTTCCCTCCTCTTCTTCCTTTCCTTCCCTCCTCTCTTCTCCCCCTCTCCTCACTTCTCCCTCTTATTTATTCCCTTTCCTCTGTTAATCTTGACATCACTAATATTTTTATTATATACTTGATACCTTATCAACTTTAACAAGTGTTTGGGCCTTCTCTGAATGACAGCACGCAGCTAAACTAGCAATCAATTTATGTCTGTAACAGCAGGTCTAGTCTAGTTATTCAAATTCTCTGCATAAAAGTATTTTATATTCCATATAATCCTCAAACTTGAAACTTAACAGAAAACCTAATGTACTCATTAATAGATGCTTTAAGTAATGTGTTGACCACGTTTCTATTTTTAGGTTGTGCATTTATTACATTTTCATCAAAACAGAGTGCATTGAATGCAATTCAAAACAAACATCAATCGGTCACAATGGAGGTTAGTCAATTCCTTGCTATCTTGATTGCTCATCTACTGATGAGAAAGGTATATGGCCATCTTAGCCAAATGTCTACATCATTTTATCCTTTCAGTATTGTATCAGTAGAGCTTAGCCAGTTAATATTGTTAATGATTTATTAATTTGCCAGTCATATGTTACTTTTAAAATTGATAATTGAAAATATTGATTATTTAGAGCTGACCAGATTAGAAACTTAAAACAATGTTTACAAAAGATTAATGACTTATTTCCTTGGCTGATGGATTCAGGCATGTGGTTACCATTGTATTACATTGTTAACCATCCTCACTTCAAATTTGAGGTTTGAGTTTTAGTTTCTGTTTCCTGAAATGGAACGTTGGATTGTGCTATGCTAAAACAAAACACAAAATAATCTGGTTTCTATGGAAATATATTATATTTTCCAGAATAAGATCCTCAGATTTATTTGTAAATTTAATGAACAATTAACGTTTATTAAGTGGACAGGCTCTCTACAACTATAACATCTCAATACATAGATTGCATCATGGGTAATTCTGTTCTGTAATTTTTACTACATTGCATATTCCTGGTACATTATTTTCATTCTCTTGTGTTTTGACGATGAATGTTTTCTTCTCCCTACTAACCTGTTACATTGTATCCCCTGCCTCATCCACTTCACAGTTAATCATGTTGATCAGATTTGGTCTACCCCTGTGTTTAGCCCAGTGTTATAAATATGAGAACACTAAATGTTGCTGTCCATCTCATCTGTGTATCTGTTTTTGTAAACTTCATCAATACAGAGCAATCCTCGGAAATCAGAGGCCTGTAATAGTGTTTATGGGTTCCATACAGTGTTTATAACCTGTGTAAAGTTTTATTTGTTCAGATGAAATTTGAATGCCCAATGCCTAAGAGGGATTTAATTCAAGCATACATTCTGCCCAGACCACCAAACACACAGCATTGCATTTGGGAGAATGGCATTACCACTGTCAGTCTTGTGTATGGCTCAATAATTACCATGTCTGCCCGTACATTAGAAAGATTGCAGGTTCAACTCCTGTGGGCAGCTCATCACTTTGGTGTGAGGCAGTATACTGTGAATTCGCCAGGCTCGCTGCATTTAGGGTGGGGAAATAGCGTTTAGTTGGATTGCTCATTGGATGTAAAATTGTCGGGCCTGTGTAAAGTTTTCATACTTGGTGCATATAAAAGATTACAGTACTCTTATCATAAGAATGAGCAGATAACTGTGGCATGATGGAACTTTCTCTCAAAACAGGGCCCTATGAGACATCAGTGTTATTCTAATTGAATACACTAACCTGTTCAAATTTAGTTTGCATATTGCAGAACCCAGGCATTTTTATCACAAAAAGAAGCGAGTTACACCAGGATGATTGGCACCATTCTTCCTTGTGTAAAATCTCCAATTGGGTGTCTCGTCTATTGATCTGAATGAATTCAAATGAATGAATATAAATAAATAAATATAAATAAAGTACATGTATAAAATAAAAATATGAATGAATTTCAAATTCTTATACATGTAGAGCAAATCTGATGAACATGGCTAGAAATTACCAATTGTTTTCAACTTCCGTTTTATGATTCATACTATTTTCATGATTTTCAAAATGTCAGTATTTGATTTCAGGATGTGCCGTATCGTCACTGTCTTCATTTCATTTCATGCCATCTCAATTCATTTGTGTCTAACTGTTGCGTTAACCGTCCGCTGTCTTTTCTATGTTCACCGTATCGGTGGTGACACTTTCTTTCGTCTAGGGGTGTTCTTCCTCACTACAAGTACGTTTTGCAGAGACTGTTAAAGAACGTGACCAGAAGCGAATGCGTAAACAACTGGACCACTTGAAGGCAACTTCCTCTGCAACATCAACTGCCCTACAAACTATGGTTTGTAAAGCTGTCCTGTTCTTGTCCGCTCTCTGTCAACCTGTAAACATATCTATCCATCACCTTTCTGCCAACAATCTTCTCTACTGACTTGGTTCTTACCTTTTTTTTTTTTGCTCTGTGATTTTAGCCACTGGCTCAAACCACCTATTGCATCAAAAGGTAACGACAGTAATAATACTGAAGCCTTCTAAACCAGATATTTTTGTAATATGATTTCGTCAAAATTGTAAAAGATTTGTCCATTGAGAGGCAATCTGATTGAAATCTGATGCTCCTGTTACCTTTAATTCAGAGGTCACATCACCTCTAACTACTTCTGACGAACTGCCTATGCAAGTTGTGTTCAAGCAGCTTTTCTCTGGATGTATTTGTCAACCAATCAGAGCATGTTAAATTGAAAAGCGGTCTGTAACGCAAGCTTTGATTGGTTGATGATTCTTTGAGAACTGATGTGATTTGTTTACCAATTAGAACAGCATGCCTTACTAGAAAGTGGCCTGCAACAAAAGTTCTGATTGGTTACTGGTCTTCCGAGAACTTTAACTCAACTTGCTTGGTTAGTAAGTCGTATGTAGTTTTAAAGACTGTCATCGGCAACCAGAACCAGATTTTAATCTGAATAAAACTGAGATAATAAATAATATTTTGTTGCTTCCAAGTCAGTAGAGTCTTGCTGCTCTGTAGTGCATATTTAATATTTCTCTATCCCATCTACCGTTAGTTGTAATTTAAGCTGATGTAGTTTATTCCCTATATATTTAACATCAGGGTTGCTCGTCGCCACTTGTAGCAAAGTTTGCTGACACACAGAAAGAGAAAGAGGCGAAACGCATACAACACCAAATGGGCAACACCGGTATGTGGGGTGTGACTGTGCCCAATTCAGTGACAGGGCTAAATGCTTTAGGGCCTCAGTACTTAGCGGTAAGGTTCACACTAATAATACACAGGACTCTTGGACAGTAACCTGACTAAAAATATTGTAGGATCAAAATAAACTGAAATTTGGTACCAAAAAAAAAATGTATCATAGAGCGTTTGCATTTAATCACATGCTACCAGCCACTACCTTTGAATGAAATTGGACACAGTGATTGCTTCACCCAGCCATGTGTTTCATATCCCCACGCCATTCACGGCTTTGAATAAATCTAATATTTAATTTGGATATTATTTTTGCACTTTGATTTAATTTTCTGTGTTTTTGACACCATCCTGCCCAAGGGTCCAGTGAAACCAACATGTTAGTCGTTTTTAATTTTGATGTGGTGCATGCGTAGTGTTGCTGCAGCTTGTATCGCTGGGTTTAATTTGGTGCTCTAGATTTGTCTTGACTTTATCATTCCTTTACTAATTAAGATTTATTTTTTATATCTAATCTTACTTTGAAACTAACATGAAGTGTGTTGCAAGTTATTTTCATATATATATATATGCATAATATGATTGAATGTTAACACGAGTGTCACTGGCAAAGTCTGCAAGAAAGCCATGATTATGTTTGTGGTATATTGTTTAAGTTCATTGCTGTGTTTTAGTGTAGATTGTGTTGTTGCTTGTGTTTCTGCACATATTTTGAAGGCAGCTTGTAAGGGGATAAGCATATCTAAAATCTGCATTTCCATATTAGAAGCGCGTGTGCTCACAGAAATGTCACAAATTTAATCAGTAGGTCAAATTCATAAAAGATAAAACTGGAATAGTTGGTGAAGATTTATTTTCAAAAATCCATTTCTACCCACTAATTATAAACATTTTGCTTATTCCCGGGGGTGGGGGACTTCCTGGCATTTTCACTGCCTGGCAATCATCGCGATGAAAACTTTTGAAAAACTGTACTTTGGAATATTTGTTGAGACACTCCTGAACAGTGTAACTAGATTTACCCTTACATGTGCAACATTTAAAAATTGGGTTGCTCAGGATACTTCAAAGTTGAGTTTGTGCTGTTTCCTCGACTACCTGTTTCCATCGGCACTTCAACCCGTGTTCTACAGCAGCCTGCGCAGAGCCCCCTGAGAAATACACTTGATAAATTCAGTACTTCGACATGAAAATTTCAGTCACAATTTTATTATCCTAACACAATGAAAAACCTTAATGGGTGTCCAACTAAAATTTAAAGCTTGAATCAATATCCTTGGTCTAGCGTATGAAAGAAGACAACTGTCAAACAACAGTGTAAATACTGGGTGTACATAGATGCTCTGAGGTAATCAATAGCCGTGAATAATTTAATGTTGAAATCCATGCATATTGATTATTTTATTTTTATTAGCCAATTTCTGATGTTTCAAAAATAACAAACTGTTTTTATGCTGTGCATCTCAAATAGCAGACCAATACACAGTCCCTCTAATATTAGTCGCCAAGCTCTATTTGAAAGGCTAATTTTGCTTCCAATACTCTCTCAGCACATGGAAATACTTTCTAAGCTTCCTTTGATTTAAATTATTGAGTGCTTGTAAAAAGGAAAACATAAATACATAGATGTTCATCAAAATTTTAAAAAATATCTCCAATGATCTTCTGATTTATTCACATCTATCACCTGATCTTTATCTTACATAAATGTCTGCTCAAACTATTAATTTAAAATTTAATTAACTATGAATTTACAAATAAATTGTTTAAATTATAAATTTGCAATTTTACCCTTACTTCGGCTGATCAGTTTCACCTCATAAAATGTCCGTCAGATCCTTCTTTTTCACACCTTCACTGCTAGTTGTTATTTCCAGGATTGACGTTCTCATAACTCGTTCATTTATGAACATTATCGTTACCACACCCTAATCCTGTGCATGTACACTTCTATCATATTTCTGGCTAAATTAATGAACTGCATTTGGCCAAGATTTTCATAGAATATTGAATAAAACTTAATCACATTTCTTTATCATTAGCACATGCATTTACAATAATGACAAGGGCACCTATGATCATATTACATTTTGTTTGCTCTAACTCTTTGTACGCTACATTCAACTTTGTCACTTTCACAAAATAAAATATACCAGTAAACAAAATATTTCTTTTCTATATTTTTCAAAAAGGATGATCATTATCAATAGGTATATATCGGTGTGTGAAAACTAACACTGGAATTATACATGAAAATGTTGGCAAGTTAAATACAGCATTGCTAAAGATACATGTATGCTTCTAATATAGCAAATACTTAGTACATTGTATACGTAAATGACTTAAATATTACCCTATGCACAGTGAAATTAAACATTAATGATCAGTATTTGTTTACATATTAAAGTATATAACATTTTTATTGGGAAAAAACATAGTTCCCAATTGACAGCCAACAAAACATTTTGTATCTATTTTTTGGGCCAAAACTGTACTTCTCGGTTTATTTATATCATATGTGAAATCGGCAAAGTAACGCGCCTTTAATTTAGCTAAATGAAAATTTGATACCTTTTAGAATAGATCTCAGAAATTGCATAAAATCACAACATAATAATTCTAAGACATTCATTCATTCATGCTACCTACATGAACACATCACTGTGTTCGTGTATTAATTTTGACATCATTTGGCGCCAGACGGCAATGTGTTAAAATATCAGATTTGGGTATTCACCAGATGTTATACATCAATTAACTTCAGTTTAGTAGTTCAATTCCTAACAACATGACCCTTGTGACTGCATGCTTATAAACGTGTGCTGTGTTCTAACTCGCTCACTGACTTGCTTATTCTATGCTGGCTTCAAATGTGTGATTGTTTGCGAATAAGTTTCTCACCTGTCATGTACTGTACTGTGTGTAATATCCATCAGTGATCATTGACTGTTGACAAGAAATCAATTATGAAATGTATCTGTTTCTATAAATCTGATTAAATCCCAATGTAGGTATTGCAGATTTGGATTCAGTTTGGACTTTTCCCTATTTTCTTTCTCATCAGTTGTTGTAACTAGATAGATAGAACTGTCAAACTTGTCTGAAAGAGTGGGAGTATTCTCCATAACACGTTCATATACAGCTGTAACATCAAACTTTGGTTAGTTAAGTGTTAAAAGGGACATTGTCAACCCATGGGATCACTGTAGATTGGACACCATTGTCTGTTTACGCTATTTATTTTGTGGTTATCATCTTTGGCTAAATATTTTCTATGCCATTAGTATAAAGGTACTCTTTGTGTGCAGCTGTTTATGCATCATCACTGCAGGAAATTATTTTTTGTGAGTTTAGGCCGCATCAAAACATTTTGTATACAAATTTGTAATTATTACTTTGAGATAAATCTTTTGATTGGTTGCTGCAAGTTTAATATTATTGGTTGTTTTGAGATCAGTGTCATGATTGGTTACCACTATTCAGTCTTCAGGATTGGTTGCTATAACACCACTTCTGTGATTGGTTATATGTTGCTATGACACCACTTCTGCGATTGGTTGTATGTTGCTATGACACCACTTCTGCGATTGGTTGTATGTTGCTATGACACTAATTCTGTGATTGGTTACTCTAGTTAGTTTGTCAAGATTTACAATATGTCTGTTCTAGAGTTAGTTTCAGCATCTGATATGAGATAAAGAAAATAATGTGATAAGTCACCAATTCTGTTATACCTACATTGGATTGCTGTTCTATATATTAGATGTAGCATGCAGAATGAACCCCAATACTATCATTATTTTAGATCGCTGTCTCGCCACAAACATCTGAACTGGGAACATCTCAGTATCAAACAAGCCAATCAGTGAGTGCCTTACAAAACATTTTCGTAATTTTTCATCCTGATTGGTTGACTGCCCAATGAATTTATCCAATCAGTGAATGCCTTACAAAACATGTTAGTAATTTTTTTTTTGCTGTTTGGTTGATTGTCCAATGAATTTAACCAATCAGTTTTTTTTATCGTTTAGTATTTTGTTTAGTGATTGCCAAGTAAATTTGAACTGTTATTTCTACTGTTATTTTATTGTATTTGAATACTGGACTGAAATATTTTGAATGGGCTATCTCTTAAGCCTTGAAGAAGCAAATTATGGATTGCAGAAATGAGAAATGTTGTACTACATAAGAGTCAAACAGTGAAATCGGTGATACAGCAGCAGAGGAAAAAAAAGTGGATTGTGATAATATATATTTATGGAGAACCTAGTTATATCTTGGCTGCATGTGTCTTTTCACAGGTTATACTCACAGTCAGATGGATATTTTCATTCAGTATATAACATTTGCCTGTCGCCTCATGCTGTGTGTTGCACTGCCGTCTCTGTGGACACCACTGAGTGGGGTGTGAATACACCGATGATGTGCCAGGATATATATATACGAGATATAAATGTACTGACGTCTGGTATAAATTTCATGTGCACACTTTGTTTTACAGGCACTGTTTCAGTTGATGCATCAAGCAGCTGCCACTGGCAACGTCCCAGCATTCAATAACATACAACAAATAGCAGGTAAGACTATCATCATTGATGCATCATTTCATGTTTTTATCAACTGAACCTTGTGTAAACCGGAAATCTGTATTAACTCATCACCCCCACTGTATCTCCCTTGTCTGTATTTGAAATATTTCCTGAAACTGTTTTTGTATTGAAATTCACTTTGTGTCATAGGACCCGAGCATCATTTTCACTGCTATAAGCTTTTCAACACCAGTTTCCTCTTTTCATCACAAATTCACAAAATAGTCCTGTTTAGTCTGCACTTTCCTTCAAAATATTGGGAGAAAAATACCTGAATTTTTTGAATGAAAACTGACTAAAATTTTGTCTGTTGGCTCAAATATTAGGGTTCATTTCAAGAAATTGAAGTATATAGGAAAGTTGTGCAGAAAAATGGGCAAGAAAGTCTGGTGGTGATAAGGAGAGACTTTCACTTGTGAAATCAGAGTAGATTTCTTAGAGCAGTTAAATGTGTATTGTTATGCAGATTAATGAATACAGCTGTGTATTGACATCATCAGTGATACCGTACTAGTTTCTTGCATGCATTACATCATTTATTGTGCCCAAACATATTATTGGTGTTCATGTGTTTGTGATGAAGCTGTCAAACATTGTTTGTATTACATTGTACATTATTTGTCGTTTTCAACAATTCACTAAGAAAAAAATAACATGACTCGTATATTGTCTTAATGTTAAGTTTATTTAAAGTTGTATTTCCCTGTTATTATGTTTAGTATACAAATTCTTGTCTAAAATATTTAAATTGGCAAGTGTTACTGTAAAATCTGTATTAAAAGCCGTGGCTTCTATTAAAATTATACAATGCAACTGAGGGGGATGTGGCTTCTATTACGGTAGAGCATCTACACATACGAGAAATGATGAATTTTTGGTTCTCATTTATTCAAAATAATATGTGCGACTTCTATCAAGGATGTGGCTTCTAATACAGATTTTACAATATTTTAATTTTTTCTATACTCTAATATGGTTACCATATAGCAAAACTATTCTAAATTGTTTTTAATATCATAGGAAAATTATCATTATACATACCGTATGAATTTTATTAGTTCACTCTACTTACTGATGACAATGAGTGGCCACTTTGTGGCAGCGGTGTCTATTAGTGTACATTTTTTTTTCGTCTGGCTCTGAAAGTAACTAACTAGGTAATGCAACTTTGAATATTGCATATATACATGTGTGCGCGAGTGTTAAGGATGTTGTATCCTGAAACAGTATTGCAATTCATCTTTCACTCTGACAGCTCTCAGTGCAATGGGTATGCCACAGTTAGCAGCATTGGCAGCAGTCAGTCAACAACAACAAGCAGCGTCACCGGCTGCAGGAGCCACAGGAAACACAAACACATCGGTTTCAGGCAATTCTGCTTTAGCAGGATTGTCACCATCAGGTAGGCAATGGTTGTGCTGCCCCCTCTTTGCCTTCCATAATCGCTTAACTCATTTCCTCCCAGCATGCAGCAGCTCCTGGCTATATATCCTTCCCCCCAACTAACAAATCTTAATCTACTTAAATACAGTCACAAGATTAACCTTTAATGGCTAATAACTAATGCCAAACAAAAATGACAATTAGGGAAAATTGTTGACTGTTACCGCCATATTGTTTCGAACAGCAGCGTTGCCAGCTGAGTTGTGACTGGTTTGCTATGCGTGCTTGGAGATTGATGCATAATTAGAACAAGTTGGATTAAACCAACTTCAACAGAAGACTAAAATTTGGGAGACTTGGACATGTTGAATATAAATAGAGAATTGCACAATACAATTGCCTTTCAATTTATTTCATTTAATCCTATAAATTTCTATATAACAAATGTCAAAGTTATCCAAAGAAAATGTATGTACTGACACAGTATGAAATGTCTGGACACGGTCGTTATGTCTGGCGGGTGTCATAGTTTTTGTGAATGAGTGCATTTAGCGGAACGGGACATCCTTGTAAAGTAGTTTGAACTAACCAGTTCTAATCATGTAATTATCTTGAGAATTGGAGAATCGGAGCAATATGGCGATGACAGTCTTTATTTCTGTCTTTTGGAATGTGCCAGGTGTGCTTTTACAGGTTTAGGCCAATTGCACATGAGAAATCAAGCACCCTGGTCCCATAACTTTAGGGAAAATAACAATTTCCGTTTCATAAATTACTTTGATTCATTGATTGATGATAAACTTTGTACTATAAATCTTTTCTTCCATTTTGCAAATTGTTACCGTATTTCTATTTTTTTGTTGATTTCAAACCAAAATGGAATAATTGACTGTAGATCTTTGATATCAAATTTTAAAAAAAATATGAGGGGCAAAGTGAGAAAATATCAAATACCATTTCTATTTTGTTACTCATCAGTGGCTTGAAATTAGATTGTCATAGAATTTCTCGTATGACCATAATAAGGCCTAGTACATTAACTTTAAGTACTAACATAATTTCATGAAAATTTCTTGTAAACACCGTTTCATACTTTACCACTATTATTGAAGTGATTGTAATTGATCCATATTGTCCATTGAACTAGTCTATTGTGTACACTTGTGGATTTTAGTAGAATGAGAAAAAAAAAAATGTTTTCCTACACCAATTTGAGAGAAAAACAAATAACCAGAAACATTAATTTTATCGCCATTTTAAAGAATATTTTTAATGTACAATTTGTTTTCCTGCCCCTATTGCTACTTGTTTTTAACTCTTAAGTCCTGTGTACTCTTAAATTCCCTTCCTTTTCCATGTCTGAGGCTACTGTCAACCATGACGCTGTACATGTCTCTCTACCACTGCTTGCTTTCACACCTCTCCTCCCACAAGCTTTCATAATTTTTATACTAATCCACCATACTGCCCACTCTTGCTGCTCTCCATCCCATATCGCATACTGTGCTGTGTTACATTTCCATATTTGATTTGGTGTTCAGTAATGTTCATTCAAAACACGTTTGTTTTGTACATTGTGATTGGTCATTCATTGCATGCTGGGAAGGTATTTGATAACATGGCTGTAACACTTCTACAAAGGACATGTAGTTGAATATACATGTGCACAAAACTGCATTCAGTACAGAGGATAGTAAAAATTGAATTGAAAAATTGAAGTCTACTTACAATTCCTACAAATATGACATAATCATTTGATTATTTATATGCAATCCTGGAACTGTAGTTTCATAGTGAAGAGAATAACATTGTCTTAGGGGATAAAAAGACAAATCTTATTCAAAATTACTATTTTTAAAATGAGGCTTTTTGACATTTCAAAGCTCAGAATATAAAAAAGGAATCCATTATTCATTATCTTTCGCAATAGATGATTTTGTTATACATGTACTTTGTCTTCTGACCAATAATTTGGGTTATCGTATCACCATAGATACCAATAATAAACATGTTCTGGAGTCTATTAATTTTCAAAACAAAGGCCGGTGAAAACAATTCTCTTCATGTCAGAATCCTTGCATTGGACGAGTAAAATTTTTCAAATCGATAAATTTTGGGGATTTAGTCACCTGCCTCCTCGCTGAATCAAACATTTCATCACGCACTAGAACTTAAGTGACTGAACTTATTGAGTGTGTTACTTTGACATCTCTGCTGTTTCACTTATGCTGTCCACTGTCTCTATTTGTCACATTTGTAAATGATGCAGCATTGGTTGCTGCAGCCAATCAGCTACAGCAAGCTGCGGTTCAAGCTGCCGCCGCAGCAACCACACCTGGCAACACAGCTAGCACAGGAAATACACTGCCCACATCAGGTGAGTGTTTAAAAACATGCCCGCATTGGATCATTAACACAAAGACATGAAAACCGCACCCAACCCCCACATACCAACCCCATGAATAATTCACTGCTACTATCAATGCCAGACATAAATGCTTGTTTGCTGCACCATACTGCTGCTATGGCATGTTTTATTGCATGATAGATTCTGTCTGTATGTTCACCTTGGCATGCTTTGGTTTAGTAATTAAGGCTAATTGACTGCATTGTTTTCATTCTCTTTTCCTACCTAGGTGGTATGCCTGTTTCTGAAATTGTGTAGTATGTATTAGCTTGCCAAGACAAAAACAAAAATCAATTTGCCTTTCTCTAACTCTTCACAATAACCTAAAAAAAGAACAGAATGTTTTGGTATGCATTTCATTGTACTAGATATTAATACATCGTCTACTAAGGATAGCTACTCTGAATGCTAACAGCATCAGCTGGCTGGCGATGTGCTAATAATTAAACAATCACTGCATTAAAAAAAAAAAAAATGTTTTATTCCACTAGCCATCATTACATGCACCATTGACCATGCATGGTATATACCTAAGATCAGTTTGAATTCAAGCAAAGATTATTTTCTAAAGGCAGCCATATACATGTACTGCATTTACATTTCAACACTTACACCGTAACCTTGTTTAAATATGTGTATAACAAACTCTTTGGGGGGCGTGTTTGTTATAGTGTAGTGTTCATTATAGTGCAAAACAAAATACATTGTGTTTGTGAGCAGGAGACATGTGTTCATTATATCTGGAAATTATTAATTGAAGCGTTCATTATAACAAGGTTGCAGTGTAACTTGTTAGTTTCAGTAAATGTTGTCCTGTACTGTGTGTGTGTGTTCATATAATGTGCATGGTGATACAATGTAACTGTTTTGTATTGTGTTGTATTGTATTCGTAACAGTCATGTATAAAGGATAATTCTGCTTAGTATATCCCTTGTTGCTATAATAAATGGCCTTATCCACCCCATCCCTACAATACAGTAGATAATGAAATGTAATGATTCTCATCTTTATTCTTTGTGTATGAGGGAGGACGAGGATTCTTTCTTTACAGAGTAACGCAATGCCTACTGGAAGCCTCCATATATAACCAAACTAAATGGCATCAGTAGGCATTGTGTTAAGTGTCCAGAAACAACACCACTTTTAAGAAGTTCACAGCTGCTCTAGGAACTAAAATTGAACTAACGCACACTACTACTCTAATTCATTGCATGTCAAATGCTTCCCAATGCGTTGACGGCAAAATGTTAAAATCTGTCCCAAAATAGAAAAGTCTATGCGTTGTTCGCTTCTGTGATTGCAAATACAAGTTCCCAACTGTTTAACTAATTAGTAGGCTGCTTGCTGTCTTTGCCTTGGTAGAGTTTATTTCAAGGCAGCTTGTGACGCTGTATGAATCCAAAACATGCAAACTATTATTTCCCACTCGTCAAGCTGTAATAGCATATAACATGCCGAATGTTTTTGTTTGTATGCATGCTCTGATATAGTTTCATTCCTGTCGCTGCCTTTAGGTAACACTACTGCCCCGAGTGTCACCAGTGCTGCCACTATGGCTCAGGCCATCGCTGCTGGACTTGGTGGAAATCTACAAAGTTTAACAGGTTCCACAGGCAATCTTGGTGGCCTCACAGGTGAATTAACTGCACACAGGCATGCACAATTAGCAGCAACAGGTCTTGCAGGTGACTATTAATCTATGCTACTCAAATCAGTAGACAGTTTCTGAGAACATTGTGTGCCCTTTTTCTAGCAACTTTCTGACAGGGTCCTTCCAGAGGTCTTAAATCAGTCTTAATTATATGATAGAAATATTTTTTGATGAGGTTGTGAAAAAGCCTCAAATTTCAGCAATAACATACTATAATTTGACAATTAACATGCGGATTGCTCCGTTCACTTCAGACCATAGGTATTTTCTGTGATTGGTATAATCACAAATAAGTCTTCAAAGGCCATTAATCGTGTCTGAAATTTGCTTATTATAGCTTAATGCTATCAAAACCTAAAACGAAGAAGGTAAATGTTCCTCCTTCACTCTCTCCTCTAAAATACAACTTTTAACCTGAAATGATGTGCTTTAAGTTAACATGTGGGCATTTGTATAGGTCATTTGGTGTTCCGAAGATATGGTAATTAAAACATGAAAGATCAGATAAACAAACAGCAATTGTCAAATCGTTCGACTGCCAGGGTTACATAAATTGGAAATTTTCTATGAGATGCTTGCAGAAATATAAAGTTGCTTAATCCGATAAATTTGCTAGAACAGTTGTCAAAATTATTGTAAAGAGCACTTTATGTGTGCAGTTGCATTGGAATTTATAATGACTCAGAAATTGTCTTCAAGATTACATTTCATTGCCTAACTTCTTCTCAAATCATGTCCTAATATCATGCTTCCATTTCAGATTATACAATACTGTTGCTATAATACCATACTAATGATGTTCTGTTATCATGGCTAACGTTGCTCAGTTTATCCCAATCTCACTCTGCTTTATTTGTGTTTTCCCAAATATAAATGGGGACTCATTACTCTTACAAAGTTTTCTTCAAAACTTAAAAGGCTTCCGAAAGCTAATTTAAATTGTTTTTTTCATGAATGAACTATTTTGTACTTTTTTACACTTATTTCAGTTTTTAACCATAGTTAGCTAGATCATGCTCGTTCTTGTGCAGCTCTTTACTCAATCTTGTAACACCAAAATGTATTTTTTCTATCACTTATTCATGCCAGTTTGCACCATTTTTAATGGGGACTATGCATGGTTTTATTATTTATTTATTATTAAACAATTGCTGTTTATTTTCTTTTACTTGATGGCTAGTTGCAATGGGAGTGGTCACTATATCTTAGCTTGCCTATCATTTGCATATTACATAACTTGTATCTATGGTAACTGGATACCCATAATGCACTGTGGTTATAGCACATATCATATTCAACTTTGACTCTTTGAATGCCAATCAGTTTGCCACCTCGCAACAAGTCTTGTATAAAACGAATTTTAAAATTTTTGATCAAACCCTGTAGCTATGGGAATACTGTATTGCTCTATTAGAGGCGCATCTCAAATGAAGTGCATGTTTAGCATCAGTTACAGAAATTGTATTCTCAATCATTCAAATATTACTTCTTTTAAAACTAACTACCGTAAAATCTGTATTAGAAGCCGTACCTCTAATATAAGTTGCACCTATTCTTTTTGAATAATTGAGAACCAAAAATTCACCATTTCTCATATGTGTAGATAGAGATCTGTAATAGAAGCCGCATCCTCTCTGTTGCATTGTACCATTTTATTAGAAGCCGCAGCTTCTATTGCAGATTTACAGTACCGTAATTTTCTAATAGTGCAAATATATGTCCATCTGGTCGAAAATATATAAAAAAAATAATAAAAGTTGACAAAATGTAGCACAGAAATGCATGGCGTTCCAAGGGTTGAAAAGACATCTGAGTAGTGGGATATTATAATGCATCGGTGTGAATGTAGCATATTATATAATTTTAATTCAGTAAAAGGTGGTGGTTATCAGAACCATGTTCTTTTGTTAAAAGCATACATTTAACAAAATAGGCATGCCATGTGAGCCAAAATGATCTTTTTGATAGCAAAAGACACATGAAGCAAAATTTTATGACCTTCATGCTACACATGTGCAAACAGCACCTAGACAGCTGGCTATGTATGCAAACAGCACCTAGACAGCTGGCTACACATGTAAACAGCACCTAGACAGCTGGCTACATGTACATGTATGTAAACAGCACCTAGACAGCTGGCTACTCGTATGCAACCAGCACCTAGACAGCTGGCTACACATGTAAACAGCACCTAGACAGCTGGCTACACATGCAAACACCACCTAGACAGCTGGCTACATGTACATGTATGTAAACAGCACCTAGACAGCTGGCTATGTATGCAAACAGCACCTAGACAGCTGGCTACACATGTAAACAGCACCTAGACAGCTGGCTACACATGCAAACACCACCTAGACAGCTGGCTACTTGTATGCAAACACCACCTAGACAGCTGGCTACATGTACATGTATGTAAACAGCACCTAGATAGCTGGCTACATGTATGCAAACACCACATAGACAGCTGGCTACACATGTAAACACCACCTAGACAGCTGCCTACTTGTATGCAAACACCACCTAGACAGCTGCCTACTTGTATGCAAACACCACCTAGACAGCTGCCTACTTGTATACAAACACCACCTAGACAGCTGGCTACATGTATGCAAACAACACCTAGACAGCTGGCTACATGTATGCAAACGCTACCGAGACAGCTGGCTACACATATAAACAACACCTAGACAGCTGCCTACTTGTATGCAAACACCACCTAGACAGCTGGCTACATGTATGCAAACAACACCTAGACAGCTGGCTACATGTATGCAAACAACACCTAGACAGCTGGCTACATGTATGCAAACGCTACCGAGACAGCTGGCTACACATATAAACAACACCTAGATAGCTGCCTACTTGTATGCAAACACCATCTAGACAGCTGGCTACATGTATGTGAACAGCACCCAGACAGCTGGCTACATGCATGCAAACGCCACCTAGACAGCTGGCTACACATATAAACAGCACCTAGATAGCTGGCTACATGTATGCAAACGCCACCTAGACAGCTGGCTACATGCATGCAAACAGCACATAGACATCTGGCTACATGTATGCAAACAGCACCTAGACAGCTGGCTACATGCATGCAAACAGCACATAGACATCTGGCTACATGTATGCAAACAGCACATAGACATCTGGCTACATGTATGCAAACAGCACCCAGACAGCTGGCTACATGCATGCAAACAGCACCTAGACAGCTGGCTACATGTATGCAAACGCTACCTAGACAGCTGGCTACACATATAAACAGCACCTAGATAGCTGGCTACATGTATGCAAACGCCACCTAGACAGCTGGCTACATGCATGCAAACAGCACATAGACATCTGGCTACATGTATGCAAACAACACCTGGACATCTGGCTACATGTATGCAAACAGGACCTAGACGGCTGGCTACATGTATGCAAACACCAGACAGCTGGCTACATGCATGCATGCAAACGCTACCTAGACAGCTGGCTACATGTATGCAAACAGCACATAGACATCTGGCTACATGTATGCAAACAGCACATAGACATCTGGCTACATGT